TAATAATAATAATAATAATAATAATAATAATAATAATAATAATAAAAAAACATCCACTTATTAACTGACAAGCACAGTATAACATGTAGGTGGAATTTGACAGTATCCAAACTGGACAGAATATATCACATATGTTGATTTGGATGCTCAGGTGTGCAGCAGAGGTAGAACTATAATGTCAAGAGTGATCAACTGGATTGTGGGACTGAACCTTTGGCCTTTTTCATTCTATTGTAGAGATGACAGTAATTAGACTTGTAAATACTAATTTATTATTGGCATTCAAATATGTATAACCAAATATTGGAAATTGGCAGCTATTGCATCATGTAAATAATATAAAATTAAATCCAAAGTTTAGAGGGTGCTGGCAGTTGATAGCTGGGTTAAGAAGTAGATTTATCTTGACACTCACCTTCATCTTACAATTTAGGAGATGGGGTGAGGCTGTGAAAGAATCCTTAAAACAGAGGTGAGAAGAAGGTAGATTTAAGATCTAGTGGTAGATATCTGAGTGATTTGCAGTAATGGGCAAGACTTTCTGGCTTCCAGTTGTAACAATAGCAGCAAGTATCTTGAAGAAAATGCAGTGATTAATAGAAGCCGACATAGATTTATCAAAAATAAATCCTGTCAGATTAATTTAATCTCATTTTTTGACTGGGTAACCTCTCAAATGGACAGAGGGAATGCTGTGGACATAATTTACCTTGACTGTAGCAAAGATTTCAACATACTGTCCCATGACATTCTGATAACAAAATTTGCAAAAAGTAGACGAGTTAGAAACACTTTTAGGTGGATCCAAAATTGGCTGCTAAATTGGACACAAAGAGTGCTCATCCATGGCACCTTCTCAAACTGGAGGGAGGTAACTAGTGGGGTGCCACAGGATTCAGTCCTGGGCCCAGTGCTCTTCAACATCTTTATTGATGATTTAGTTGAAGACGTACAAGGAAAAATGATCAGATTTGCAGACGATACAAAACTGAGTGGGATAGTGGACACTGTAGGTGTCGTGCCTGAAGCTCCGACAGAGACAGCACCCCACAAGGAGGTCTTGCACTTGGGACCCTGTACCCAAAAGCCAACCCCGCAACCTAGATTAGGGGTGGCTGAGCAGATAGCCGCACCTCCCCCTGACTCCCTGCCCATTGAGCAAAAACCCGAACCCACATCAAAGCAAGGGAGCCTCGAGGGAAAAGAGCCTTGGAGCAGGCTGCCCCTCCTCCCACTGATGCTGAACTTCCTGAACACGACACAGGAGTCGTAGGGGGCTTGGTTGACTTTTCTGTGACCAATCGCAGAATTCTAAGAAGATACGAGCAAAAGCAGAGGTTGTTACATCAGAGAGAAGAAAGGCGTGACCAAGAGAGCTCGTCCCACATGGGCTCGGGAGAGACACCACTAGAGGATTAACATCTGCATTTCAAAGACCTCAGCTAAAGAGCTTATCTATTGAGTTGCTACTTGTCTACAAGTAGCAATAAAGGAGCAATAAATATTGCTCATGAACATGTGGGTTGTTTACATGTTGAGTGCCATCTCGACAGTAGGACTCAGAATGAAGATCCAGGGCGATCTTGATAAACTTGAATGCTGGGCTGAAAGCAACAGAATGAGATCAGTAGGGACAAGTGCCAAGTCCTACACCTGGGTAAAAGAAACCAAATGCATTGATCCAAGATGGGGAATACATGGCTCAATAGGACTGAAAGAGAAAAAGACCTTGGAGTAATTGTGGACAACAGACTAAATATGAGCCAGCAGTGCAGTGCAGTTACCAAAAGGGCAATGCTATTTTGGGATGCATTAATAGAAGTAGTACTTCCAAATCACAAGAAGCAGTAGGTCCCCTATGCTCCTCATGAGTCAGACCCCTTCTGGAATACTGTGTCCAGTTCTGGGCACCAAGATTTAAGAAAAATGTAGAAAAAAAAATAGAAAGGGTCCAGAGGAGGGTAGCAAAAATAATCCAGGGTTTAGAAACACTGTCCTATGAGAAGAGATTGATAGAACTGGTCATGTTCAGCCTTAGGGACATGATACCCCTCTATAATTACTTCAAAGGCTATCACAAAGAGGAAGATCAAGATCTCTTCTCACTTGCTACCAGAGTGTAGGACATGGACAAGCCAGGCTAGATAGTCAAGTTGTGACAACTGAGGTTCAGGTTAGATATCAAGAAAAGTTTCCTTGCTGTCAGAGCAATAGGGCAGTGTAACCACATTAGAGACATTCAGAAAGAAACTGGACAGCCATCTGAGTGGGATGGTGTAAATTGGTGTCCTGTAACAGCAAGGAGTTAGACCTGAGGGCCTTCATGGCCCCTTCCAACCCTAAATTATACTGCTGAAATGAAGAAAGCTTGGAGTAACCAGAAGTATTTTTGTGTGCATGGAAGGACTGCAAATGTCTTTCAGTTCTAGCATCTGCAATTAACTCCTGGTTCAGAATCCTTTTAATTCTAAGTGTGTATCCTTTACCCCTAGGCTCTGGTTGTTGGATCCCAGGATTCTAGTAAAAGAAAAGCCAAGTAGATGCAGGAAGATGAATTCTGTCCACTCTTCCAGTCTAACCCTGCCCACCGAGTTCTTGACCAGAAGTCTCCCGTTGTGTGCTCTTAACCCCCATACTTGCCTAGAAGACCTCATAAAGAGTGGTTTAAAAACTGTTTGTTCATGGTAGTGATTAAAAAAACAGCCCACATTTGAGTTTCATTCCCCTCTTCACTATCTGAATCCTGTACATGTTTCCTACTTAAATTATGCAACTGTTCTCATTTCCCATTGTGCTGACTAGGTTATTCCTCCCTTATTTTGCGACCACATGACCATGCTACCTTGCAGTGACAGATTCTGAATTTTTAAATTGCCAAAGCTGAGCCATGGTGGCTGCCATTCCAGACTCCTCTCATCTGATTTCAGTCACCTGTGCCCATATGCAAGCACCTTGGGCATGCTGTGTTTTTGCTCTGCCCCTGAGCTACATGCAGTCCTTCCCCTGGAGGTGCTTGGAAAAGCGAGGCTGCCAACAGGGCCCTGTTTCCTTTCAACCCTAACTTTTTCAGGAGAAGAGGAAGCTGATAGATGAAATAGAAGATCTCACAGCACAGCTCAATGAGGAGCAGGAGAACAAAAGGAAGCTGGGAGACAAACTGAACCACGAGAAGCACCAGTTCCAGAAGGAAAAGGAATCCACACAGGAGGTGAGCAGAATCCGTTGCCTTCCAGCTGCTGCCTATGAAACTATTCTGCTGACTAGAGGGTGGGCATAATCTAGAGAAACATGAGCAGGTTTCACTCCATTCAAGCCCAGAGGACTGAAGTCCATGATAAACTGTTTACAGAGTTTATTAAGTAGGATGATGATTATAATTCAATTATCTCTCTTCACAAACTTCCCACATAACATTCCTTAAACCAAAAACAGAGAAAGCCCTGTGCAAACTTCAAAGCAAACAGTAAAACTTATCTCAAGCAAAGCTTCAACAAGCATAATAGAGCAGACAAATTGAGAAAAACTTGCTAATTTGTTGTAACAAAAGGTGAGTGTTAAAGGTTAAAGTTGTTAATTATTAGACTGCATACTGCCAACATTCATTATTTATGCACTGATTCTATGTCAGAATTCATTTTTCCATTTAAAAAAAACCGAAAGAGTGAACAATGATTATAAAGTAGTAACATAATACATAATATAAAATAGAAGTAGCATTTGCAGTTAAAAACTGTAATAATCCAAATTCCCATACTAACAAACATATGAGAACTGGAAAAAAAAAGTTGACCTGTTGCCAAGAATTGTGCGGAAGTGTTTCCTGTCACTAGTCCTATACCAGCAACAGACCTGGAAAGGCCTAACCATGAACAGCGGCAGATTTAAAAGAAGGCCTGAACAAAGACTAGCTGATCCAGGACACAGACAAACAGATACCAGAGAGGACTCCCCTTTAGGCAGGGGTGTGGGGAACTGGGTCCAGGAGCAAACTGTACTCCTGGCCTCCCCCGGGGGCCACATACATTAATAGGTGGCCCTGCCCTGACATGGTCAGGTCCCTGGCCAAAGTGCTGGCTGAAGTTCTTCCTGCCATTGTCTTCGTTGAGGAACCAGCTCTGCTCTGCTTGTGCTTTCCCAACCAAGACACCAAGCTTGCTAATCCACTGCCTTCCCTGCAAGGATAAGCTCTTACAAGGCAAGCCATGTAGCTGGATGGGCTGGCCTGGTGAGCCAGACATGGCTCAGGAGTTGGAGGTTCCCCATCCCTGCCTGAGGCTTTATCAGTGATCGTCAGGATCTTTAGTTGGACTCAAAAATGTATTGAGAGCTAATAGAATTGGGCATAATATTCACTGTGGCTCCAGAAATCATCAACAGAAATGATGGCACCTTTAGGTTAGCGCAGAGAACATTTGTGCTATGTAGTGAAGGCTGCTGTTCATTTTTATAAATAGATAACATTTTGCCTTGTTCTTCAGCCAAAAAGGCAATTATAAAAAGTTATTGGTCTTCTTAGTTTAGGGTGGAGATGGCTGTTGGATGCAGGCAAGGATGCCATTTCTGACTTCATTTTGGGGTGGGCCAATGTCTTAAGCAGTGCTTCAGGATACCATCCAGATATTAGGTTGCAAAATTGCTGTGTGTGCATGTGAGGGAAAAATACATTGAGAAAGAGCTTTGGGATACTTACATTTACAGCATTCTTATTGGCCCATAGAGAGCCATGCTTTTTGCCAGGCGCATATAGCATACAGACCTATCGACTTGCCTTGCAGCTAATTGAGGACCTCAGGAAGCAGCTGGAGCATCTGCAGCTCTTCAAGCTGGAAGCAGAGCAGCGAAGGGGTAGGAGCAGTAGCATAGGTCTCCAGGAATACAACAGCCGGACGCGGGAGACAGAACTGGAGCAAGAGATCAGGCGGCTCAAGCAGGTAAGGTGCAGATTTTCCCTCCGGAATCTTCTTGCTGCTTGTTTGGTGACCTTCTTCACTTGCAGTGTTCCAGAGGGTGGCTCAGACATGCCCTCTTTGTAGGTCAAGGTTGTGGCTTCTTGGGATGGTTCTTCATCTTCTGGCCTTTTTGGGGACTGTGAACGGAGAATTAGCCTTCCAATCAGTTGCCATATGACCCCATCCTTTCTGCTTGGCTACCTCACCCAAATATCGAACATGCAGTTAGGAGACTCCTGAAGTCTGCCAGGTGAGCCCAGGCATTTGTGCAGAGCAAATGTGAGGGCTTCCCAACTACACTGGAAGCAGAATTAAGGGGAGGAGGTATATCCCATGCTTGGCATGCAGTAAATCCCTGGTCCGGTCACTTGCATCACCATGTTTTTAAAAGGGGATAGGTAGCAAATGGTGGGGAAATCCCTGTTCTGCCTGGCGAGGTGCTGCCACTTAAAGTAGATGGATGGAATGTCTGATCTAGTAGAAGGCAGCCCTTGTGCATTTCTTTGAAATTTTGCTGCTGAGCTGATTTGGAGAGTTATCTTACAATGTGCAGCAACAGAGCCTGTGACCCAAAGTTCAGCCCTTGAATCTCCAGTTAAGAGAATCTGGGTTGGAACAGACAGTACCGACTGGATGGCTGGACTCTGTATAGGGTGGTTTCGCATGTTTGTACCTGTCCTGCTGTAGTTACTGATGGCAGCAGCAGTCTTGACACTTGGATTCCCTTTGCAAACAGGATAACCGAAACCTGAAGGAACAGAATGATGAGTTAAATGGGCAGATCATAAACCTCAGTATTCAAGGAGCCAAGAATCTCTTCTCTGCTTCCTTCTCTGAATCTTTGGCTGCAGAAATCAGCTCAGTCTCCAGAGATGAGGTAATGTTGGGGGACTTCCAAAAAAGTCTGAGTACCATTTTCCTCACAACAGCCAAAGGTGAAATTAAAATAATTATAAGTGGAAATCAGATAGTGGCAAGAATTTTGATGCAAGGGGAATTCTATGAATTTTCAAAAGCCTAAAATGGGGAGGCAGCTTGTTAGCTTCTTGAAGAAAGATGGGATGCAAATAGGATGGATTCATTTCAGATTTTTTTCTGCTATCAGCCATGTTTGGAAGGAACACTGGTCAGCTCATATATTTGTTAATTTACACACACACACACACACACACACACACACACACAGAGAGAGAGAGAGAGAGAGAGAGAGAGAGAGAGAGAGAGAGAGAGAGAGAAACTATGTTAGTTAAGACATGCACAGTAGGCACACGTGTCAGCCAGTCTTAAATTTCATTCAGGGACAAACTCAGGGAAGAAACAAGGGCGATGCAGTAGGCTGTTAGATGGTTAAAGATTACTCCAATAGTCTTTTCTTTTCCAGCTGTTGTGTCGTATTGTTTCGTTTCTATACTGCCCAATAGCTGAAGCTCTCTGGGTGGTTTTCAACATATAAATCTCGTGTATGATTATGAATTTTTGTATGATTATGAAATCATTCAAAAATACAGATTGTTTTTCTTTCTGTCTTTAATTTTTCTGTTATGCTATTTTAAAGCGTTAAAATATTTCTATTATACATAGGTGCAAAAGGTGACACAGAAATAATTGAATAAATAAAATAATAAATATAAAGGTGATAAAAATGCTACAGTAAATTTATAACAAACTTTCAGTTCAAGATTTCGAAAACTACACATGTTCAGGTAATGCAAAATTCCTAAATATAGGCAGTCCCTGGGTTACAAATAAGTTTCATTTCTGAGAAAACAGACATTTGTCTTTAAGTTGAATTTGTATGCAAGTCAGATCATGTACAGTTCGCCCTTCACATTCATGGGAATTAGGAATATGGGACCCCCATGAAAGTGGAAGAAATGCAAATATCTGCAGCACTCCCAACTCACTTGTGTCTCCTCTGCATCAAGGAAATGCCAGATAGATTTCCCTCTCCAGATGGGCAGGGCAAGAAGACATACTTGGAGGCCTCCCTCTCTCCCCTTTCATGAGGTTTTCTGCAGTTGTTTTTTAAATTAATAGACTTTATGTCTGTTCATTCATAAGTATAGCTTGTTCATAACTTGGACATTTGTAACCCGAGGACTGCCCTGTATTCATAGAATTCAACAAACAAGAGAATACTAAATGCAGTCCATCTTCGAGCCAAAAATATACACTTCTGCCTTTCAGCAGTCAATATAAGTCAATTAACCTTCCTCAACCAGGCACTCCTTGCAATAAGTTGGGCTACAAAATACATTGACTGTACTGGTTGGGGAGAATGGAAATGGTAGTCCAAAACATACATAGGCCACCAAATCTGCCCTTGAGCCAGCAAAAACCAAACCAAGATTAAAATTAGACACAACTAATGAAAATGATGATTGTACAGGATACACACAGCCAACATACCCCTCCCCAGACAAACCTGCTCTCTCCTTGCTCAGACACAAAACTCAGAAACAAAAACGGTGAGACAGCTTGTCCCAGGCAAAAGTTAGCCATAGCAGAGTTGCCTTCCAGTAACTAACTTCTTTCTTCTCCTCCTCCTCCTCCCCACACTTCTTACTGTATAGCTGATGGAGGCGATTCACAAACAAGAGGAAATCAATTTCCGACTTCAAGACTACATTGACCGGATCATTGTGGCCATCATGGAAACAAACCCATCCATCCTGGAAGTCAAGTAGGAGGCTGAGAGCTATGGACTTGTGGGCCAGATGACACCTGAGTGTGTTGGATTTGCTGCTCTGAGGAGGACACTGGCAAAATCTTCACTCAGTGAAGGAGGCACAGGATGCCTCATGTCCTATTGGTTAGGTGATGGATCCTGGTGGACTTAAGGGAGAGGACCTAGCCATTCAGCATGGCTGCCTAGACTCCAGTGGTATTTCGTGCCCTCCTGGCTTGTGGGGGTTGGGGGGCAGGGGGCAAAAAGGAATCTGGAGAAGAGGATACAGGAAGTCATGGAACAAGGCATAAAACTGGGGCAGGGATGTGAATGTACACCAGCATCCTGCTGTGGAACAGGAGTAGGTGCTGGGCTGCAACTTGAATCCCCTTCCTGTAAGATCACAACCTGTCTACATGCCTCAGATACAGGAATGGGATGGAGACATGGGGAGATGATTCAAATCTTTCTCCGCTTGGCAGTCACAGTGGGGTGATGAGGAGAAAAGAGATTCCAAAATACCCTCCTGCCTTACCTTGCCTGCACATCTTGGCTTTCCCATCTCTTCCTGAAAGCTCAGTGAGGGCACATCAGTTACACTCAGCCGCATGTCCCTTTTTAAAGCTGTTACAAGCTTTCTAAGAAATATCAAGCATAAGAAGAAATATGAGAGACTTCTCCTTGTTTAGCCAGTAGAAGGAGAAAGAGGCTGCCTTTGGCCCATCCCTAGTTCGTAAGCTTTGTGCTCCCTGGCCTGTGAAAACATATTGTTTCTTTTACATCCAACAAAATTTGGCGGGGAGGAGGGTACTGCACGTAGCTGTGTGTGTTTCCTGCCCACCCTTTTGGGAGGAGGGAGCTGCCTTAAAAAGGAAATACTGGTTTGTTTCCCATCGAGCCAGACTGGGCCTGGAGGGAGGTGAACAACTCTTGAAAGGGGACTTTCCAATGATGCAATAAAGGATTGGACCATGGACAACATCTGGTTGAAGATCCGGTGGTGGTGGGTGGCGATACCACAGGCACCTTCCTGCACCTGAAGCCAGCTGCGGCTGGGTGGGCTGGCCTGTGGTGGACAAGCTCAGCTGATGACACTACAGTGCTGGAGGCAGAGCTATCCTACCGCTGCACTTCTTCTTGGTCAGATGCAGCAACAAACAGTATCCCCTTCATCGGATACGCTTCCTGTGTTGCAGGCTGTGTCTCACTGACAAAGTTGGAAGAATGAAGGGTGTGGTATCCATCTTTCCATGCACAGGAATACTGAATCTAAATTTGTTAAAGCTGGCAAAATTTGGGGCCATTGACTTAATTTTGCATACCTTCATGGAGGGGGATATGAATTAAACATGTTGCATCTTCTTCCCACCTCCCATTTCCACCTGATATTTAAAAAGAATCCTGTCATCAGGAAAACTGGAAAAACAGTTGAGGGCACATAAGTTGCCTTCTCCACACCTGCCCCAAATTTTATGGGAAGAGTTCATTTTGCTTATACCTAAAAGATGTACTGTTTCCACCGAACCAGAGGGTTATGCTTTTTTCTTCTAAATTTTTAAAATCTGACTTTGGGAATTGGTTTTAAAACATGCTTTGTTCTTGGATTTCTATTTTTAATGGCACAATTGGGAAAAGGGAAGGTGAAGCGCAGACCTATGATGGATCCTGTTATGCTGCATCTTTATTGCGTGTGGGGAGAAGAGATTCAGGAGCCCAAAGAGGGCATGCCGTGAGTGCCAGTACCTGTGCCCCAGGAAGGGTTTGGCTCTGGAATGGACAGTATGGAACATGTTATGGGTGCCTTTTTTCTCCCTTAAATAACCCTTAGACATCCTCTGCATCACTAAAGCACACACAAAGCAATCATGCTACATCTAGGCACAAGGAACCTGGCGATGTCTCTCATGTCTGCCTGAACCGCATACGCATCTAGTCTTCACGGAGAATAAGGAGTGATTGATGATAGCTGATAGTCTCTGCTCTAGTCACCTTGAAAACATGCTTGAATTTTCACCACTGATGTATAGTGAATCCAAACCTGTTCAAAGGAGCAGTCCAGTCACGGGGTTTTGCTCTACTGAGCTGGATTTCATTTATTGGGTCACCAGGAATATTTTGGCTAGATGATGTGAATATTTTCAAAGCAAAACAAAACAAATGCTGAACAATAATAGTAGGTCCGTGCTTCTGTAATTTTCTGGCGGGATCAAGTGGAATGTGGTGAGGGACATAGGAGCTGCTCACCTGCTGGTACAACAGTTCTCAAAATGCAAACATCCTTGCATTTCTTATCAAGATACTGCCCGCCTGTTCCTCTCCACCATACCTTGAGGAAGAAGAATTCACGTAATGTACATTTCCAGAGGAATCTTGGGTGCAAATCAGCATATACTCGGAGAGGGAAAGATTTTCATTTTCTATCTTGTATTGTAGAGTTAGGTATTTTTTATAGATTGAAGGCTGATCAATTTTTAATACTTCAAAAAGGAGAGCAAAGTATCTGTGTCTGCACACAAATATATAAATATATGTATGTATGTATAATGTACAAATCTATAAATAATCAGATCTGCCTTTCTTGACTTGGGCACATAATGTCCATGATTATAAACACACACACTCCTCTCCTGGCCTCCCAGTTGATCACAAAGAGGTACTGTAATGTAAATAGTCACAGGAGGAAAGAAAAAATTAAACCAACAAAAGTGAAGCACTGGCTCGCACACGGCTTTAATTTCCTGAGGAAAACTGTTCTTCCCTGCTGGTATGTGAAGGAATTTCCAAAAAGAGGCAAACAGTATTTGTCTTAACGGGTGTACTGACTCTTGTCTGATTAAAAGCTGTTACCGTCTCTTTGCTGAAGACATGCTTCTCTTTGTGTTTGCTGTGTTGTTTCCGCTTTTCTTGTTGCAAATCATTGCCAGACAATGAACACAGATGTAGGTGCAGGAACCACAGTCCTCCAGGAATGAAACTTGACTGGGGCCATCACCCTTATGCACAACTTGGCTGTTGTTTCCACTTTACTATACAGAAGCATGTCTCAGTAGGCTATACCCACAATATAGCCCATCTGTTATCAACCTGCTACCCTCCAGATGTGTTGAACTACAACTCCTATCATCCCCAGACAGCATAATCCTTTTCTTTACTTTCAGAAAAGATTTTAAGCTAAAATGTACTGGTTATTTTTGGAATTTTGGGCCTGCTTACCACTGGAATGTAGCCTAAGAACTTTTCCAAAATGGAATCTGTTCTTCCGGCTTAAATAGCCTCAACCCCCTGCTTTAAATGTTACCTGTGTGAGAGCTGCTCTTCTTTATCCCTTGCAGGTGGGATAAAGCTTTAAATGACCCAGCTATTGGGAGGAACCCATTGGGCAATCCAAGCCATGGAATGGCCAACTGTGAATGCCAGCCTTTGGGGGAAGACCCATTTGACTGATGGAACCATTTTAACCATTATGACAACTGTATGGGCACTGCTCATGGAATAGCAGCGCTCTCATGGCTACGGTAAGCTAGTCTAACAGGGCTCCTCCTCTAACAATAAGACAAGCAGGTGCTCTTTTATCAGATCAATGGTATTTTACAGGAAATGTGTGTCTCTTGTGCCCACTTCTGTCTGTCCTTTGTGAGTAGAAACTAAAATAGAATTGCTGGCGGCTTGTAGTGGGGCTTTAGGGCTAGTTGTCCCCTTCATCTCTGTGCAGAATACCAACTATATGCAAAGGTTACTTTTTGATTTACATGGCTGTACTTCCAGGTAGATGGCTCCTTTGTCAGCTTTCTCTGTTCTGTGTTAAGAAAACATCTGGAAATAGTGGTTTCAAATTGGAGAAGACAATTTACAGATCCTGTGAAATTCTTCGATGGGGAAGAACAGTTACACAACAAAAGCCTAGTCTGTAAGTTCCCAGAAGACAAACACTTGGCTATTTTAAGCAGCCTTTCCGTTCTACTGCCTTTGTTCAGATTACCTTTGTCTTTAATTATCAAACCATTTGTTGGTCCACCTAGCCAACTCAACTCAGGGAGCTTGACCAGATGCCCTGCCCATTAGTAATATATGCAGAAAAACATTTATTCTTGTAGCCCCATCCTTTCTCTTTTACCTATAAAACTTAACACAACCTTTCTTGTTTGTGGCTGTTCCTCTTTGAAAAAACAGAGCACTGAGCACAAGAGCAAGCAAGTGCATCCAGTGCCTACACATTAGAATTAAACAGCAGGAGTTATATTCAGGGACCCCTTAGCCAGCCTTTCCCAACCTGCAGTCTTCCCAGAGGTACAGGATGGGACTTGTAGTTTGACACATCCAGAGGGCAGTAGAATGGAAAGGCTGCTTAAAAGTAGCCCCATTCCAGCCTTGCTTGATAACATTCTGAGAAAGTTGGCCAAAACATTTTGAAACTCCTTGAATTAACTTACAGCTCATAGTGGTATTCAGTGAGCACCGCTAAACTTTGTGTTCGTACTCTGCATCTCTGCATTTGAACTGCAGGTGGGAAGGGAGACATTGCATGCCCACCCCCTTACCTTTTTTGATGGTCCTGTTAACTGGTAAGGAGAGTTGAAACTTGGTTATTTGGGGAGGAGCTTGATGATGGGGCTTGCTGAATAGATGAAAGGCCCCACTTCCCATCTATTCCCCATAATTTGAACACTACTTGTTTATTTCCACCACTATCCTGCCTGAAAGTGCTAGGCACCTCCTAAACAAGGGAGTGGATGATCAAGACAACTCACGATTATTGTTCTCTGGGATCAGTGAATTCTCCCTGTCACCTCATTAGTTGTCCTTTCCAAACGGACACATTACTCTCTGCACTTGAGCACTGACTGGAAAAGTTACCTAGAGAAGCTGCCACCATTTTATACAGATCAGCAAAACTCTCTTTCCCCTCTTCATTTTCAGTGGAGGTGATATCTGTGCAGGCTGCTGCGCCCAAGTTTTTTCCATACTTTTTGAATGCTATATGGAAAATCCATGCCAAAGAGCTTATTTCTGCTAATTTTCCATTCCTCAATTTTAAAATATTGTTCTACAGTGCTAGCGATATTTTATAAGGAGGTACAGGCAGAGCTTCCTCTTACGTTGCTGATTTTTATAGTTCCAAGGTAGCAGAGTCTGTACTGTCAGATATATCATACTGGCTATCTCAATTCCTACTATTGATACAGTCTAAAGAGGTGATTTCTTAAAAGCCAAGGGAGCTGCTTTTGCAGCCCCCAAACCATAAGAAGAAAAATGGGAGGGGGGCTGAGGCACTGTAATGACAGAGCAGAAAGGGGAGATCCATTGGGTCCATACTCATCTCTCACTCTGAGCCTGGCAACTCATGACTGAAAAATACAGGTCAAAGGTGGCTCCCCATTCTCTGGTTCCTATTACTGACTTTCCTTAAGGCGGGGGGCGGGGGCTGGTGACCATTGACAGAGGAGGATGTGCTTGGGACATCATGCATATTCTGTGATTGGTTTGAGAAGGCTTCAACCGAAGCAAAATTGGCAATCTTCACATGAACCGAGAAAGGAAAGTGTTAAGCTATTCTATGGAAGCCAGTATACCTATTTTTTGTTTTATCCAGACAGCAAATTCTTCATCAAGAACAGCCTGTGGACATCACACATAGCTATCTCTGGTTTCTCCAGGGTCATGCTCAGTCCTCCACCCTGGCATAGTTCAGTCAATAAGCTAACTATTTGTCTATGTCAATTCCTCACTCCACCCATAATGTCATAATCCTTACCTAACATGGGAGGGATTCTCTATTTTTGCAAGAATTACTGAGATAACTGATTGTGCAACACTTTGAACATTGAACGTTTGAACTACAATGTGTTGCTTTGCTGATCTTGGAAGGGTAGTGACACTTCTCTTGTACTTACACTAGGTGGCATCAAAGAACTGCTGACATTTGGCATATCATAGAACTGGAGGGAGGAAAGTGAAGGAATGCACTAGGTGACATTGCATGGCTTCATCTGCTCCCTGTCAAGTGTGTTCTTTGATGCATAGCACCATCTAGGGCCTGTTTTTCAGACACACTATAAAGTAGCAGAACACAGTGATACGGCTTGTCATACTACTTAGTACTCTGCTCACCAAACCAGCCTGATGATGACTTTTCTCTTGAGACTTTAGTCCAACTAAAGTCAATTATTTGGTTTTATATAAGGATAACCCTCTCACTCTTGTCTTGAGCATTTTCTGCTTCCACCATTATATACTCTATTTTAACTATATCTAGACTGTCTGTCAGAACAGGCCCTCAAGGCATGTTTTTAACACCCAATCTACAATTGTTTTTTAAAGGAGCAAACTAAAATACAAGTAATAAAGAACAAGAATACCCAGCTGACAGCAGCAATGAGGACATTGTTTCCCAGCATCCCAAAAGGCAATTGATCGGGGATGATAAGAGTCATAGCCTGTCTGATGACGACAGATGCCTCCTTTCCCATCATATCATTAAATCAATAGTCCAAAATGACCAAACTGCACCACTAAACATGGCTGTCATTCTGGAAATGGTTCCCTGAGTGGGACTAAGGCTGTAAAATGCCTTGAGCCATCTCTGAGAATTCTGCAGAGCTGGCAGCTGAAGGTTTTGTAAAGTTGTCTAATTCCTTTAGATCTAGCTAACATTCACTAAATCTGCCATGTACCAAGGGCCATTTTACACACTGCATAATAGCACGCCTAAGTTTACCACACCATATACACACAATGGTCAGGTCTGTGGTCAATCCTGGTTCCCCAGCAGGTATATCTGTTTGACATGTGTTTGTTGAGTACATCACATTTGTATTGGTGACTAGAACACCTTTAGGATCTCACCTAACACCACAAGGTATGAAACAACCCAAAGATCTCTTGTATCAAAGGACCCTCTTTGTATTTGGTGCTTTTTTAATTGCATTGTGTAATGGTGGAATGTGGATCAGAGTCAGAATTAAGCTCCTGAATTTCTTATGTCTTAAAATGAAGCAAACTTCTTTACCTTATGGAAGCATATGTAAGCTGAAATGCAGATAGACTATCTGATGAAGAGTTGAAATCAGATTAAGGCTAACCAAGACTATTTTCAGCACATGGTAGAAATAGTGTTGCCTATGTCCTTCTTTGTCCATCTTGCACAGCAGAACTATGTCCCTCAGTGTGTTCAGTGTCTGGGGTCAGTCCAGATGCTTCACACAGGAAGTCAGCCTGATGAAAGCACAGACCTTCTTGCTGGTGTGGCATCTCAGCAGGATTCTTCTGAGATGAAAAACAGTAGCCTTGCCTGCTTTGCTGCTTACTCACGAAAAGCAGTGATAATGCCTACCACCTGCCTTACAGTTTTGACAAGTGGCCATGAGCCTCATTGTGCCAGGTGGATGATTCTGTGAGGATGCCCGGGTGCCTTTCTCACCCTGGATTTCTTGGCTTCTGTTTGTCCTAGGCCCTTTGCAAACCCTGTCTTTTTTCAGGATGTTCTACTGCTTATTAGGATTCAGATTTTCCCCCATGACCTGCACTCCTGATGTTTATGAGAAATTGAGGCTGCCTCAAGAATGACAAGAAGGGACATGTCTTTGACAAGACAGTAGGGCTGAGCCTGCCTTCTGAAATGGGCACTGGAAGAAACACTCTCTCTAACCACCCAACCCCAACTTCATATCCATTTAAAAACAGGTGGGGTGAGTGCAAGGACTGAAGTGGGCATGCAGCTTATACATTCTGACCAATGGTTGGGTCTTACATTTTGTGTTTGGGTCCTGATACTAGGGTATAAAATGCCCTTTAACACTTTTGTTTTCCATGGAAGGAAATGCCAGGAATTGGAGTTCTGGTCCTCCTCCTCCTCCTTGCTTCAG